GGCAGTCCTGGGGGGCTCGGGTGGGTCATGGGATGGAGCTGCGACTCGTCCAGGGGCACGGAGAGGAGGGGCACTCTTGCTCCTGTGTGCACCCCCAAGGGAGGCATGAGGGCAGGTGCCCCCAGAATTTGTGCACTGGGCAGAGGCAGGCTGTTGCTGTAAGCTGGGCTCTGCCATTGTCTCAAGAGCCACATACTGGCTATGCTGCATCCCATGCCCGCCTGGTGGTGAGAGGCACAGCATGGCATCATGCGGCTCCCAGGGTAACAGCACTGGGGTGCAGAGCCACAGCCACAACAGCAGCCCACCTCCACCCGACACACAAATCCAGGGGGCACATGCCCCCCATGCCTCCACCAGGGGTGCATGCAGCAGTGGGAGCAGCACTCCCCCCTGCCCTGCACCCCTGGATGAGTCACCCACAGCTCTGTCCCATGACCCACCCCAGCCCCAGGGTCCCATTCATCCCAGCCCCTGCCTCTGCCACTGCCCCATTCCCTCCCTCACCATGGGGGCTTTGATCTGTCCCTCCCACCCCTTCCCTTCCCATGCCCCTCCCCCTTCACACACCTGCTGGGTACTGTCTCTGTGTCTGTGTGCATGTCTGTCTGTGTGCACGTCTGTGTGTACAACTGTCTCTGTGTGTGTATCTGAGTGTGCACATGTGTCTATGTGTGTATCTGTCTGCGTGCACTTCTGTTTGTGTGCATGGCTGTATGTGTGCATGCCTATGTGTGTGTGTGCACATGTGTGTGTCTGCCTATCTGTATGTGTATCTGCGTGCGTCTGTGTGCACAACTGTCTGTGTGTGCATCTGTGTCTATATATGTCTGTCTGTCTGTGTGTGCATCTACCTATCTGTATGCATCTGTTTGTATGCACATCTGTGTGTGTCTGTGTGCATCTGTCTGTTTGTCTGTGTCTGTGTGTACATCTGTCTGTGTGCAGTGTCCCTATCTGTGTGTGTGTGCGTGTGTGCGTGCGTGTGTGTCTGTCACTCCCAAGCCACAGCCCGCCCAGCCCTGCTGCTGCCCCTCACTCCTGATCCACAGTACCCCGCATCCTGCCAGGGTATCTGGAAACCCCCTTCCCTGGGCTCCAAGCCCCACACACACACCCACAGCCACTCCCCAGTCATACAAAGTACCTGCATAATTTTATATAACTTTGAGTTTTTCTGCGCATAATTTTGAGTTTTTAGCTGTGCACTTAAAATCTCAATTAATTGCAACTCATTTTTTTAATCACACAATTAATCACAATGCAAAGTATCTGGCTTCCCATGACAGCAGAACACATGCACTCACCTACCCCAGCTGAGCTGACCCCAAGACGGAGGTGGAGAGTGGCACGTACATTGGCAGCAAGTCGTGTCCACCCAGGATCTCTTGAGCATATATTGACAAAGTTTCATAGAAGCAGGACATTGACTGCCATAGTCCCCCTGCTTTCCCTGTGGCAGGTTCAGGTGTTAGGTCTGTGTTGTGTCAGGGTTGACGGTCGTCTTATGTGGAGTTTAGATGATGGTTTGTATCTGATAGTTTAGACAGGGCTGATCCTGCCTCAGGCACGGGGTTGGACTAGATGTGACCTCTGGACTGCTCTCAATGGGTGCAGATGACAGAACAAAGAATAATGGGCTTAAGTTGCAGCAAGGGAAGTTTAGGTTAGATATTGGGAAGAATTTTCTCACTGGGAGAGCAGTAAAACACTGGAACAGGTTACCCAGAGAGATGATGGGAGCTCCGTCCTTGGCGGTGTTTAAGACCCAGGTAGACAAAGCCTTGGCTGGGATGATGTAGTTGGGGCTGGTCCTGCTTTGAGCAGGGGGTTGGACTAGATGTGACCTCCTGAGGTCCCCCCTAACCCTCATGGTCTATGATTCTATGGTCCTGTTTTAATATATGTCTCCTTTCAGGCCTTGTGCTCAGTGGATCTCATGACCAGTTCACTTAGACATGTTGATGGCTTCCTGTACTTTGCTGACCAAGTGGGTGGTTAGTGGTCACATCTCCAAAGGTTCAGGCTACGGTCACTCAGAAACAGACTTTGGGGCCTTCAGTTTAGCCACACATCTGTCGCTTGGCCTAGGTCCCTGGGAGATGGCCTTGGCTGGCAACATTTTCCTCTCCCTTTCTGATGTCACTCTCCTTGTGTCAAGGGAAATTTCCAGAACACCTTCAAAAGGTGAGCTCAAGAGCACAAATTCATTAGCTGGCTGGACACTAATGAACCAAGGACTCAACATCAATATTCAAGGGTAGTAAGGTGCTGGAACAGGTTACCCAGAGAAGTTGTGGATCCTTTGTGCCTTTCTATGCGCCTGTGCACCCTGTGGTCTCTGTCCTCCTGTTGCTGCATCTGGCCCTCCATGGGGGATGCACCGTCTCTGTCCATTGCTCTAACCGTCCATTGGGCTTTGTTCACCCATTGTGGTCACTGTCATGTTGGGGAACTGGCTCTGTCTGGCTGGGGGCTGGGAGTCAGCCATCCCTCCACCTGTGAGCTGCAGGCTCTTGGCTGGGGGTGTTGGTAAGCAGTGTGTAGGTGTGTGTACACAGGGATGTGTGTGGGGGGTTGTATATAGGGGTGTATGTGTGAGTGTGTATGTGTATACAGGGAGTGTATGTGTGTGTGAATGTGCATATAGGGGTGTGTATGTTTACATAGGGATATGTGTGTATGTGCATATAGGGGTGGTGTTTGTATAGGGGTGTGCATGCATAAAGGGGGTGTATGTATGGGAGTATATGGGGGGTGTCTGTGTACATGGTGGGCTGTACATGTATATAGGAATATGTATGTGTGTGCATAGGGGTGTGGGGGGCATATTTGTGTGTTTTGGTATATTTTATGTATGTATGAGTGTGTATTAAATATATTTGTGTGTGTGTGCTTTTTGTTATGTATGTGTGCATGTGTGTGGTGTGTGAGATACATGTGTGCAAGTCTGTATGGGAGTGCATTTATATATATTGCGTGAGTCTGCCTGTGTGTGTATTTTACACACGCGTATGTTGTGTGTGTATTGTATTTGTGTATGTCTGTGTGAATTTTACCTATGTTTATGAATGAGTGCATACTATATGTGTTGTGTTTGTGTGTATATTTGTGTGCGTCTGTATAGGTGTGTGTTTGACGTATAGGCAGACAAGGTTCCTTGGGTGAATCTATCTTTTATTAGACCAACCCAAATAGTTGGAGAATAGTTATTAAGCAAGCTTTCGGGTTCAAAAACCCTTTGTCAGGCTAAGGAAGTGTCAGCAGTTGGTGTGTGCTCGTCCTGGATGGAATATACACACATGTAAAATACACACCAACACACACACATAATATACACCAACACACAGATATCCGCACATACGTACACATGTAACATAGACACAAATAGACACACACAGACACGGGTGTATAATATACACACATATACCCACAGCTGTGTAATAGACACACACATATTTCATGTACACACATAGATGCACACATGTAAAATACACACCCATACAGACACACACACACACACAAACACACACAAACACGTATGCATGGGTGTTTCTATTGTGTGTGTGTGTGTGTGTCTAATATATTTGTGTGTCTGCATGTTTTACGTTTGTATTTTACATGTATGTTTGTTTGTGTGTGTCTACACGTGTATACTTAATGTATTTGAGTGTGTGCCTGTTTGAACATACCTGTGTGTGTATAAGTGTGTGTTTCTGTGTGTGTGTGTCTGTATGGGTGTGTCGTTTACATGTGTGCATCTATGTGTGTACATGAAATATGTGTGTGTCTATTACACAGCTGTGGGTATATGTGTGTATATTATACACGTGTGTCTGTGTGTGTGGTACATGTGTACGTATGTGCGGATATCAGTGTGTTGGTGTATATTATGTGTGTGTTGGTGTGTATTTTACATGTGTGTATATTCCATCCAGGACGAGCACACACCAACTGCTGACACTTCCTTAGCCTGACAAAGGGTTTTTGAACCCGAAAGCTTGCTTAATAACTATTCTCCAACTATTTGGGTTGGTCTAATAAAAGATAGATTCACCCAAGGAACCTTGTCTGCCTATACGTCAAACACACACCTATACAGACGCACACAAATATACACACAAACACAACACATATAGTATGCACTCATTCATAAACATAGGTAAAATTCACACAGACATACACAAATACAATACACACACAACATACGCGTGTGTAAAATACACACACAGGCAGACTCACGCAATATATATAAATGCACTCCCATACAGACTTGCACACATGTATCTCACACACCACACACATGCACACATACATAACAAAAAGCACACACACACAAATATATTTAATACACACTCATACATACATAAAATATACCAAAACACACAAATATGCCCCCCACACCCCTATGCACACACATACATATTCCTATATACATGTACAGCCCACCATGTACACAGACACCCCCCATATACTCCCATACATACACCCCCTTTATGCATGCACACCCCTATACAAACACCACCCCTATATGCACATACACACATATCCCTATGTAAACATACACACCCCTATATGCACATTCACACACACATACACTCCCTGTATACACATACACACTCACACATACACCCCTATATACAACCCCCCACACACATCCCTGTGTACACACACCTACACACTGCTTACCAACACCCCCAGCCAAGAGCCTGCAGCTCACAGGTGGAGGGATGGCTGACTCCCAGCCCCCAGCCAGACAGAGCCAGTTCCCCAACATGACAGTGACCACAATGGGTGAACAAAGCCCAATGGACGGTTAGAGCAATGGACAGAGACGGTGCATCCCCCATGGAGGGCCAGATGCAGCAACAGGAGGACAGAGACCACAGGGTGCACAGGCGCATAGAAAGGCACAAAGGATCCACAACTTCTCTGGGTAACCTGTTCCAGCACCTTACTACCCTTGAATATTGATGTTGAGTCCTTGGTTCATTGCCGCCTCAGCCGCCCGCCTCCTGCTGCGCCGCGGCGCCAACCCCGCCTGCATCGACACCCATGGTGACACCGCCCTGCACCTGGCTGCCCGCGCCGGCCACCGTGGTGAGCGCCAGCCCTTTAAAGCCCCTTAATTGTGGGGGGTCTGGGCTCCCAGAACCCCTGCTGTAATTGTGCCAGGCCCCAGAGAGCCGAGGCGTCTGGGGTCCCATCAACACCCCCCCCACCCCGATCTAAGCCGCTTCTCCTAGAGGACCCAAGTGTCCGAGCTCCCATATTCCCTGCTCCCACCGTCCTGACCCCCACTTCACTCACAGTGGACCCAGGTGTCCGGGCTCCCAGTTCCCCCCCTCCTCACTCCTCCAGACACCACTCCCACTATAGAGAATCGGGTGTCTGGGCACCAAGCCCCCTGTGGTCTAACCTGCCCCCCGCCCCACAACCAGAGAACCCAAGTGTCCAGGCACCCAGCCCCACCCCCTTCCCAGAGAACCCAGGCATCTGGGCTCCCAGTCCCGCCCCACTCGAGACCCCAGGCATCCAGCTCTCGCCCTTTTTGCTCTCACTTCATTGCAGTCCCTTAGCCCAGTCTGGGGAGGTCAATGGGACCCAGGCATCCAGGAAACCAGGAAGTAGGACCCACGGGACCCAGGTGTCTGGGAGGCGGGGCAGGATGACCCAGGTTTCTGGGCAGAGCGTGCCCTCACTTTGTGTCCCATCCTCCCCACCCCCCAGTGTTCCAGGCGCTGTTCCTGCCCATTGTGCGCTGCTGCCCCCAGGTCATGAGGATCCGTAACCAGGCAGGGCAGATCCCCACCGATCTCCTGGATCCCGTGCTGCAGGAGGAGGTACCAGCGGGTGGGTGGGGGGCAGCCTGGACACCTGGGTTCTCTCGGAGAGGAGGTGGGACACTGGGGGGGTGAGAGTGGGAGGGGGTTGGGAGCCCGGACGCCTGGGTTCTCTGGGAGGTGCCTGGGGGCGGGGAGGTGGGAGGAAGGGGTGCTGGGAGCCCAGACACCTGGATTCTTCGTGGCCGGGGTGGGCACCTGGAGATGGGGAGCAGGGGAGGCCGGGAGTCTGGATGCCTGGGTTCCATGCTCAGCTGTGTTTAACCTCCCAGGCTGAGGTCCAGCTGGGGGCTTTCTCCCCAGAGCAGCCCCCCTCCAGTGCGGGGGCATTGCAGGTTGGGGAGGGGGCTACTCTAGCCCCTCTCTATGGTTTCCTGTCCTCCACAGCACCCCATGGAGCAGGAAGAGGAGGACAACGCTGACTCCTGGCATCAGAAGCTGCTGGGGGAGTGTGAAGCTGAGGCCTGGGAGGCCGGTGGCTATGAGGGTAAGCTCCACCCCTTGGCCCAACCCCTTTTGCCTTGTGGCCGTGCCCCCTCCATAACCCCACCCCTTTCCTCCTCTCCACTCTATCCCACAGAGGATTTCAACAGGGAACAGTCAGATTACGAGACCTATGATGCGTGGGCAGAGCGAATTGTCCGCGAGTACACCCGGAGGCGAGGCCAAGGGGCAGGGCTTAACCATGGGAAGCCAGAGGACAGCAGTCAAGGGGCAGGGCCTAGCCGGGGAAAGGCGGAGCCTGAGCCCCTCCGGCGCCCCATGGAGGTGGAAGCCGACCTGTACCGGGCCCGGGAGGCTGCCAAGGCCCGGGAGCTGCAGGAGGCTAGGAGGAGGCGCTGCGAGGAGGCCTTCACCCCAGGTGCCACCAGCCTTCTAACCTATCATGACATCCCTTGGCCCTGCCCAGGGGCCAGCCCTGAGGCTATGGCGGCAGCGGCCATGATGGGAGCGGACCCAGGCGACCGAGCCAGCTTCCGACGCCAGCTGCGACGCCAACAGGCCCTGTGGCACCCTGACAAGTTCACTCAGCGTTGTGGGGAGCGCCTGGCCCAGCCTGACCGACGCCGGGTGCTGGATGCTGTCATGGCCTTGTCTCAGGCCCTCAACCGCCTGGCCGAGAGTGTCAAGTGAGGCGGCTGGCTCTGGGCTGCGTGTAATGGGGACAGGAGGTACGGATGGCTCTGGAGAGCATCAGGTTTAGGTACAACAGGGACAGGAGCTGCACCTGGCTCTGGGGGTGTCAGGCTGAGTATAAAGGGGATAGCGCTAAGGAGAAGGTGCCTTGGTTGACATTCGAATGGGAGACCTGTGTCCCTCTGTGCTAAGTAGGTCCTAGCATGGTTGGCACATGGATGGGATACCAACATACCTCACTGCTAAGCAGGTTATGATGTGTTTGGCCCCTGAAAGGGAGACTTGGGTGGAAAACCTCCGCTTGGTAGCAAAGTCATATAGGTGATACTCCCCCTCTATGCAACTTTGGTCAGGCCGCAGTTGGAGTACTGCGTCCAGTACTGGGCGCCACACTTCAGAAGGGACGTGGCCAGCCTGGAGAGGGTTCAGAGGAGGGCCACCCGCTTGGTGAGAGGGCAGCAGGACAGGCCCTATGAGGAGAGAGTGAGGGACCTGAACCTGTTCAGCCTCAGCAAGAGGAGGCTGAGGGGGGACCTGGTGGCTGCCTACAAGCTCATCAGGGGGGATCAACAGCAAAGAGGCAGAGCCCTTTTCTCCCCAGCACCACCTGGGTGACGAGGAACAATGGTAATAAGCTGATGGAGAATAGGTTTAGGTTAGAGATCAGAAGGCAATATTTTACAGTGAGGGTTGCCAAAATCAGGAACCAACTTCCCAGGGAAGTGGTCCTCACCCCTACCTTGGGCAAATTCAAGAGGAGTTTGGATTCGCCCCTGTCTGGGGTCGTGTGACCCCAGCATTCATTCCTGCCTGTGGCAGGGGGTCAGGCTAGATGATCTGTTCAGGTCCCTCCTGACCCTAGCTACTATGAAACTATTCATCTGGTGTGTCTCACCATTCCCTGCAGGCAGTGATTCTTTCCCAGTGTGGGAAGTGCCAATTTGCATAATAGTCATGCATATGTATATATGTTACTGAATGGACAGCAGATTTTTGCTGCTATAAAGTATGTTTTTCTCTGGCTAGATTCCATTAGAATTGGGGGGGGTCCCAGACTCCTGGGAGTGTGGGTGTATGTGTCCCAGATGCCTGGGTTCTGCGTATGTGTGTATCCTGGACGCCTGTATCGCAGACAACTGAGTTTTATGCGTGTGTGTGAGACCTTGGGGGTGAGGGAGCTCCCCATCCTTCCCCAGCAGTGTCTGTGCCCCCAGCTGCAGCTCTCGTGCATAGCCACGGGGTGGCAGCAGCATCCTGTGGTTAGCTGAAGTCCTGAGCATTGATGGAGCTGCCGGGTGAAGGGAGCAGTGAAGCCCAGGGGCAGCAGGGGGCGCTGGGCACCAGGCTGGCACCAGCTAGGAATCCAGGAGAGATCTGCCCAAGCCTGTATCCCGGAGCAGGGTGCAGCGGGTTGGAAGCAAGGGGTGGCTATAAGGCCCAAAAATGCATATGCACACATGCCTGCATATATCCATACACATACATATATACATGCATATATACACACGTATTCATAAACATGTATATACGTACATATACATACATGCACACACCCACATGTATGTACATGCATGCATGCACACCTGCATGTATGTACCTTGTATTCTCATATTTGTACACGCATATATGTATGCACATATCAATACATATTTACACGTATATATGTGCATGCACAAATAGATATGTACACACACATATAGATATGCACACATACAGATATACACGCATATATATAGATACGCATACCCATATATACAAGGATGTTGGTTGTAGCCATGTTGGTCTGCCTGAAAACGGGGGGGTTGTACCCGAAAGCTTGCAAAGAAGAATTTTTCTAACTATTTAATTGGTCTAATAAAAGATACCACATTTACCCAAAGAACCTTGTTTACCCCCCCACACACACACACATACATGCATATATACACATGCACACACATACCAGTATATACACAGACATGCACATGCACGCACATACATATATATACCCATACACATATACACACACCAATGTATATGCACCCACACATGCACACAGAGAGATACCAACCTGGTGGCCTTCTATGACCAGGTCACAAAATCCTTAGGCGCAGGTGAAGCAGTGGACGTAGTCTTTCTGGACTTTAGGAAGGCCTTCAACACTGTCGCTCACCCCATTCTCATTAAACAACTAGGGGACTGTGGCATCAACACCTACACAGTCAAATGGGTCACTAGTTGGCTGGAGGGCCGCACCCAGAGAGTGGTGGTGGACGGGTCTTATTCGACCTGGAGGGATGTGGGCAGTGGGGTCCCCCAGGGCTCGGTCCTCAGACCCGCACTGTTCAACATCTTCATCAGCGACTTGGATGAGGGGGTAAACAGCACCCTGTTCAAATTTGCAGATGACACTAAGATGTGGGGAGAAGTGGGCACGCTAGAAAGGAGGAATAGGCTGCAATCAGACCTAGAAAAGTTACAGGGGTGATCGGATGAGAACAGGATGGGTTTCAACACTGACAAGTGCAAGGTGCTGCACCTGGGGGGGAAGAACCAGCAGCAGACCTACAGGCTGGGGAACTCCCTTATCAGTACAGAAACAGAAAAGGATCTTGGAGTCATTATTGATGCCAAGATGAACATGGGCTAACTGGGGATGCGGTCAGGAAGGCCAACTACACCTTGTCATGCATCCACAGATGCATCTCGAGCAGATCCAAAGAGGTGATCCTCCCCCTCTATGCGACACTGGTCAGGCCGCAGTTGGAGTACTGCGTCCAGTTCTGGGTGCCGCACTTCAGGAGAGATGTGGACAACATAGAGAGGGTCCAGAGGAGGGCCACCCGCATGATCAGCAGGCAGCAGGGCAGGCCCTATGAGGAGAGGCTAAGGGACCTGAACCTGTTCAGCCTCCACAAGAGAAGGCTGAGGGGGATCTAGTGGCCGTTTACAAACTAGTCAGAGGGGACCAGCAGGCACTGGGGGGAGTCCCTGTTCACCCGAGCACTACCAGGAGTGACTAGAAATAACGGTCACAAGCTGGCAGAGGGTAGATTCAGACTAGACATCAGGAGGCGCTACTTCACAGTCAGGGCGGCTAGGATCTGGAATCAACTTCCAAGTGGTGCTGACTCCTACCCTGGGGGTCTTCAAGAGGAGGTTAGACGAACACCTTGCTGGGGTCGTTTGACCCCAGTACTTTTTCCTGCCGTGGCAGGGGGTTGGACTTGATGATCTGCTCAGGTCCCTTCCGACCCGACCAACTATGAAACTATGATATTGGTATGTGCACACAAGACATACATGTGCACACACACACACACGTACATGCACAGTTACATCTATACCAGTATATGCACACACACAGACATGCACATATACACATACATACACATATATATATTATATACATATAGACACATGCACATACATGTGCATACGCGCACACATATATGCACACACACACAAATTTGTATATATGCCAGTATATACAAACAGATCCATGCACATACACACATGCATTTGCCCACATACACACATATATGTGAAACAAACTTTTTTAGGTCCTCTAAAGAAAACCTTTACCGGAAGCCAAGATTTTGTTTCCCGAATTCCCTTCCCTGGGGGCTTATAGCTGTCAGAAGCAAACGTCTCACCTTCCTCCCAGGCTTCTGGGACCTCGAGACTGGTTGCTCAGAACGAGAGGTGGTAGTGGTGGCAGTGGCGGCTTTGGTTATGAAGCTATGCTTTCCTTTCTGGGTAATCTGCCTGCCTTGAAAAGCCACTGGGGGTTTCGATGCATCAAACTCCGGATTTCAGTATGAGACGGTGCTTGTGTCTTTCACCCTCTGCCTTCTCGGGCCCAGGGGTTCTTGGAAAGGTCTTAAAATAACTGCCTTTTCTTTAAAAAAAAACAAAAAAACTACTTATTCTTTTCCCCGCTAAACTGTGAAACCCAACTGAAAAGCTGACTTTGATCTGGAAAAACATGCCTTGTTTCTCAGAGCCTTGTTTCATGGTACTTGGAGAGCTGTACAAACGTCTATCAGCTTTGTGCTAGCTTGCCTTCACACCTTGAACTTGAGCTGCACAGCTGTGGGGGGTGGCCCCAGCTTCATCAAACAGGATCAAGAGACAACTGGGCCCTTTAAGCTGCATAGCGAGTGCTTTAAGCCACTTAACCCACAAAAAGACCACACAACACATTTAAGAGCTCCAGCCGCTGCCCCAAAAGAACATGTAACAAGGCCTTTAAAGATATAAAAATAGGGAAGGTGCAGTGGAATGGCAGAAAATGGTGTGAACAACTGTGTAAAGTATAGTGATAATATAGTGGGGTAGTGAAAGAAAAAGATGTGTATAAAAATAGGATGGCAGTGAGATGGTGAAAAATGAGTGAAATAGTGAAAATATATAGTGGTAATATAGTAGCAGAGTGAAAAAAAATAGCCAAAAACGTACAGAAATAGGGAAGGTGGAATAAAAAATTAGTGAAGTATGGTGAAAGTGAATAGTGAAAATATAGCGGTGTAGTGAAAAAATAGCAGGAAATTAATAGAAATAGGGATGATGGTATGGGATGGTGAAAGGACTTGTGAAGACGTAGTAGAAGGGTGAAAATCTAGTGAAATATGGTGAGAAATGCCTGGTGAGAATTCAGTAGAATAGGGGGAGAAAGTAGAAAATGTATAAAAATAGTGCAGATGGAGTGGGTTGGTACAAAATAGTGAAAACGTATAACATTTTTAGACTGAAACTCCCTATTTTTGTACCTTTAAAAATGGCATCATTTAAAGCATGCAGGGACCATTTTTAGGCTGAAATTCCCTATTTTCATACCTTTAAAAGTGTCATTGTTAAAGCATACAGGAACCATTTTTAGACTGAAACTCGCTGTTTTGTGTGATGTGAAATAGTGGAAAAAAATAGTGGGAAATGTATAAAAACTAGTTCAAATGGGGAACTAGTATAAATATAGGCAACCACAAAATATTGTGAAAAACAGGAAAATGTATACTGATGAAAATGATGAAAAAATAGTGGAAGCTGTATAGAA